TCTTGAGTGTTTGAGCGCTGACCACTGAGCTGCCACTCGCTGCACTCCTGTTGCAGGTGGTGGCCTTACCAGGTTTGGTGTCTGTCTAAGAGACTGCAGTATACAAAAGTAGGAATATATATATATATATATGCCAAGAAGGATATAGATCCTGACGTCTTTGATTTTGCTCAGAATTAAGTGCTTAAACAACTATGAAGGTGGTGACTTTCACCATTCTCATTAAAAGCCTTATCTTGGGGGACATTCACCACTGGGAGCAATTCTTGTTTCCATGGCACAGGGCTTGTTTAGGGGCTACTCTGCTTTTTGAAGAGTATGCTCAGAACAAGTGCTACAAGAAGCTGTTGCAAACACAGTAATACTCATTCTTGCAGGTGGAAGCTGTATGTTTATACCTACTGTATCATGACCTCACAGCTCATATGTTTGCTGTGTCCATCTCCTTGCAGGAACACAGCAATGATCTCCTGCAATATTCTAACTTACCGCGGGCTAGATATCAACTCATGGGAAACAAGCTATCTGCACTGAAGGCCCTGAATTTTACCAGCTTCAGATCTGGTTCAAGATCTTCTGGTGGGGCTATTGCAGATTTGGGGACCATGCTATAGAATCCTTCTTTTAAATATTGTTTTTAAAAGGGCTGACACAGTAATACTGTAGAGAAGTCGTGCCAACCATCTGCACAGGGACATGGCTAATATGGGATATTTAATTGGATATGAGTGCTCCCTCTGGCATACTCTTGTCATGGAGTTTAATTTTGACCCCTACACAGTAATAATAAAGGAAATAATAAAATGCTGAACTCAACATTTAGAAACAGCTGCCTCTGCACCAAACTCTTGACAGTGTTTTTACCCTGTGGCACAACAGGTCCAAGAGTTTGTTTGTGTTTTTTTCTTATGCAAATATTAATTACATGTAATACTTCTTCTTTTCCCTTAGCTTCCGTAAAATAAAGGGAAGGAGAGGGCGAAGGCGAAGAGGGTTTCTATTATGGATAGAGTGGGGGTTGCAAAATGAAGAGCAGTCATTGATTGAGTTAATCAGAAAGTGACCTTAACTGCTCATCAGCTAAATCACCTACTGAGTGGAATAATAATGATTAGGGCAAATTAGGATCCATAGTATTACTTAATTAGTAGGTAATGGATCATAGAGGAAAGACCTGACCATCAAAATCAGAATACAATGTATATAGCATTAGTATGTGTGCACATGTGTGTATCTATGCACATACACGTAGCACTTGTCATGCTTTAGCTCCGATGGTCTGAGTGTGTAAGTGTGGTGGAGGCTGGGGGGGGGGGTAGTATCTTTTAGCAGATCCGCTAATATAGTCAGGAAAAACAGAGAAGCTCAGGATCCAAGGAAGGACAGTGTAGCTGAAAGCTTCTGGACAGTGTAGCGGAAAGCTTCTGTGTTTCACAGTCCATAGTAAAACCGAGTCCGTTTCTCTGTGCACTCAAGCTACGTTGTGCTTGCTTTATGATTTCAAAAGGTTTTCAAGCCAACAGGTCTGGGCTAAGAAACTGAATCTGGTGGTAATTTCCTTCACTTACATGGTGGTTAAATGAAATTTGAACAAATTTTACTAATAAATGCAATAAAATAAGCAAGTTACTACTATCTTCAATTTAATATACAAAAACCACCAGATATAAGCGCAATGAGGATATGTGAAACATGCAGAGAGCCAGAGACAAAGCTGGAACTGAGATTTAGAGATGCACTATCAGCAGTTCATGAGGACACATCCTTCTCCCTCTCTCCATCTCCTTTCTCACAAGGTTGACTGGCTTTTCTCAGACTTGGGCTTAGCGCAACCCTTGATATTTTTAAAAATCTTCATCTTTTAATTGCAAAATAATTGAAAACCCAGACAAATCTTACAGTTCCTTGAAGAATAAAAAGTACTATTCGATTAACTCCTCCTTTAGAGTTTCGTTCTATCATACCTCAGATTTCAATTTTTTAAATGAAATTTCACAATGCATGACATTTCGGCTAGCTCTACTCTAAAAGGCATCCTGTTTCTGATTCACTTTGTTTAATGCGTCAAGACACAGCACTGGAAGGGGGTTAACACATTCTGATTCTCTTTCTCTCTTTTGAAACCAGGAGATTGATGGCAATGCTTTGCTGCTGCTGAAAAGTGACATGATCATGAAATACCTGGGGCTGAAACTGGGACCTGCGCTGAAACTGTGTTACCACATTGATAAGCTCAAGCAAGCCAAGTTCTAACAATTTCTTGAACAACAACAGAAAACCCAACCTAAATCTAGATGGAAAACTAAAGGTAACATGTTGCCTTACAGAAGTGCATTCATTTGCAGATTGTTTTTCCCTCTTTTTTAACAAAGACTTTGTCTTTTTTAACATTTGTGCATCGTCACCTTTTTTTAATCCAATAGGGTCTTTTGGGCTGCTTTGTGTTAATAATTTGCCAAAAAGTATATAATTACAATAATTATTTTGTATCATTAATATTATTATGAGTATAGTAAGTCCTATTTTTGTAATCAGAAGTGGGAAATCAAAAACAAACACCGCTACGGCACCATACTGCTGGAAGACTAACCAAGAGGCCCTTACTGGCTATGGGTCCACCTCGGAGGAGTAACGGTTGACCTGCATCCACTGGGCCCCAGCTCCACTGCTGATGCTCAAGGGCTGGAAAAGCATGGCGTTTGGTCACCTATTGCCTGATGGGAACTGCCCCATGTCTTGCACTATCTGGAAAACTTGATTCTTCGCTTTGAAAAACAACAAAAAAAGACAAAAAAAAAAAAAGGTCTCTCAAAAAGGGGGGAAAAAGGGGTTTCTTTTTGCAGCTAAAGTACTTTTTCCCACTAGAGGGAGCAGCTCTAATAGACTTGAGGCTGGAGCTCTGATGCCATGGTGCTTTCTGGCTGATGAGCTCTGACCATCACGACTCTCCTATATAAACACCGAGAAGGAATCGCAGGCTCCCAGCAGGATAAGCCCGTCACTGTTTACAGATCATTAATTCAAGAAAAGCCCAAACGCAGAGAGTGTTTTTGACAGGATGTTTCCCGTTATACTGAAGAGGGGGTGGATGGCTCCCACGGTGTCTGGCGCGCTCAGCTGTCAGCTCCCATCCCTGAGCCGTTTCTTGTCTGGCGTAGGGTTTGTGGCACTCTAAGAAAAAGCAGAATTTCTGGTTTTAGTTTTGTTTGCGTTTTTAAAAAGTGAAGGAGCCGGGCGGGAGCGTTCCCCAGTTGAGGCTGGCAATGCGGGGCGCATCTCTGCACTTTGCAACAACGGTACGGTCCGGGTCAGCTGTTGTAGGGCTGGTTCCTGACTGCACTGCAGCTTTCAGCATGTATGCGGATGTGCCGGGCTTAACGTCTCAAGTGGATTAAAAATAATGCTCTTCTGCCTCTTACACAAATCCAAAAGGTGCTCACTGATAGTCCACGCAGCCAGGCAGGAGAGGACAGGTGTCAGGCTAAGGAGGTAGCTTGGGGCATGGGTGTGCCCTCATTTTCATCCTTCACAAAGGAGGATTACGAAGGGACACATCCATACAGTTTAAACCCTTAAGGCATGACAAGCAGTGGTAGCAAGTTTTTGTCAGTCAGTCATGCAGGTTATTTTACAGCTACTCTCAACTGAATTGAGAAACAAGGTCCTGATAATATGCAAGACATCATACTGTCCAACATAAACAGGTTGTCTGTCTGCATAAACAGGTATGCAGAACAGAATATTACCAAAAATACCTCATGGAATAACATTCAACTTGATGCATGTTGCTAGACCGGAACTCCTACAGAAAGACAGTGGTTCAAGACCTAATCCTGAAAATCCTTATGAACGTGAGAAACCATATCCCACAATACTTCCACTAAACTCTTGGGAACTACTCCCTCAAATTAAAAAAGTTGTCTGCATACGTTTGCAGGATTGGATCTTTGCAGGACTGACCAACTTTCAGCAAACTCTATCTGCATGCTGAAACACCTCTAACAGGAATAGCTGAATAAACGTGTTGAATGAAAAGTCATATACTATCAAGAGATGTAAAATACTGAATCCTAAACATGTCAATGCTTGGAAAGTAACACCCACCTGCATGACTTTTTGTCCATGCTGTAGAGAACACAAATCTGTTCAGCCAGCTGGCTGGTTGAGGCAGAGGTGACTTCATATCAACATAAAACCTGTACAGTTCATTTTTCACTCTTACATTTTTTAATTTTTTCCCTACAAAGATCCCCAAAATATGTAAAAATCTTGCTGTATTAGTAATGTCACCTTCACAGAGTCCTCAAACCATGTTTTTCTTCCTCCCTCCCATAATTTTGAACTTAGTTAATCTCCCTTTTTTTCAAAAGATGATTTTAACTCCTCCACTTAAAAACCCACCTTGCTGTAGTATATCAGTAGTCAGAGCTGGTTTGACTTTATCAGATAGCTTCAATGCTGGAAAATCCCACTTTGTCAAAATCAAAACTCTTCATAAAAGCATGTCACTTTCTAGTGTAAAATTCTATTTAACTGAAACTACAGCTTTCAGTAATGTCAAAACATTATTTTGACATTTTGGAAATGGAGCATTCTTGTTCCAAGAGGATTTTTGCATTTTATTGTATTTTCCTGGAGAATCTGTAACCTCACATTTTGTTCTGAGAGTGTGAAGAAAGCCCTGCAACTACAGACTTTCCTGAGCAAGAATCTTTCCCATTCAGCTCTGTGTCTCATCCCTTCCCTCCACTTCCCCTACTCTGGACATTACAGCTCAGAGGGCTGATAATACCAACATAGTATTTATAGACAAGGTGGCAAGGATGTTCCTACATTTAATATGCTGAAATAGTTTTCATGGATGTATCTGATGTACACAGTCACTGGTGCTATCTCATTTGATATGACCCTTGTAGGTATGACAGGACTGTCCAGGCTGTGATATTTAATGTTTTGTCTTTTACAAGGGGAGGCAGTTAGTGGATTCATTGTACATGTAAGTAACGCTTATAATAAAAATTCCTCACTGCATGTTGTTTTTTGTTTTTTTTTTTCACTGAAAGGCAATTAGAAGGCAAACATTACTGCAGTAACATTGCTATTATAACAAATTTTTCTCTTTCGAGTCTTGTCAGTGAGGGCAGTTAAGCAGCTCTGCTGTGCCAAGGGTGTCAGGCCATTTCCTCAGAACAAGCACTAAAGAGCCAGAACATGCATGTCAGCCACTTCTCCGTTACCTGCTGCTTTAGACATTGCTTGTACAAATTACTTTGTTTGCTATTCCGTTCGTAGCTCTTGCCTCAGACTGCAGCCAACCCAGTTGTATTTTTGAACTGTTCCCAACAGGTGGGTGGATGCGCATACCCTTAAAAGCAATACATGTGCCTCTTTTCTACTTCTAAACATTCGGTTAGAAGCACTTCAGTTGCTTCAGGCAGTTTCAATACTTTGTGACCATTCGTTTTAATAAAAAAAAAAAGCAAGCAGGCAAAGTCTAAGGATTTGGAGAGAGCTCTTCCCTTGCTCAAGTGTCAGTTACAGGGCATTAGGAGCACAGAGCCAGCGGTTCCAATCAAGCACATGGTCTTCTTGCATCTAGGCTGACCAGCTCAGCCTCAGCTGAGACACACATCAGCCAAGCCGCCTTCCCACCCACCTGCTGTCACGGCCTCCTCTCACACCGACGAAGGAGGGCCCCAGCCAGACCTAACTGAGTTTCAAGAAATGCCTCTGGGAATGCCTCCACCTCTCTGAGCCCACTGTCTTGCTTGGCAGGCTGAGGCCTTTGCAGCGTTGGCAGCTTCACTCGATGTGATGAATGCAGGCAGGCACCCTTGGGACCAGCAGGTAAAGCATCGCTCTGGGCTGTTACTGCCCTTAAACCGATTGCTGAATTTCTACAGGTTGTCAGCAGTCTTCATGAGTTACACTTCCTTCCTTCTTAAAGAAAGGATGGCTGTGAGAGATTAAGTTGGACATTATTAGCGAAACAAGCAATAATCAGCTAAACTGTAAGAAAATGGCTAATGAAGTTTTGGCATGAAAAGCTGCCTCTGTCAGGTTGGTGGCAGCAGCACAAACCATCCTCCGGTTCAACCAGTGCCGCCCAGGCAAGGCAGGATGAAAGGACAGCACGGGAGCAGGTGTACAGCTTTAGGGAGGGAGCAGCTCTGAAGCCCAGCCCCAACTCTGACAGTCATGGATGGCCTTTCCTCTCACCCTTCCATGGCCCCTTCCTGACTGTGAGCTGCAGCGCTCTCCCCTTCCCCAGCTGCACTGTCTGGGGCTGAGCGAGCTCACGGAGGAATCTTTCAGCTCTTACCTCCCCAGATCATGCCCCAAAATATTCAGTTAACTAGTTAGTGCCTTCTTTTCTCTTTTTCTCCCCTTCTCTCTCTCTTTTCCTTTGAATGGCTTCTACTTGGAAAAAGACATCAGGAGGGACATCCCCCCAGGCCCCTCCAGGAACCCATGGGTGACCAACCCAGCTCACCCCACAGAGGAGCATCTCTAGAGTCAGACATTCGCCAGGACGCAACCAGTCCTGCCTTGGCACCAGGCAGGGAGGTGAGAATTAAATGCTCCATTTCTATTAATTAAAATTAAATGCTTTTAAGGCAATCCTCATTTCTGAACTGCAGCCTCCCGCCCTGGGGTGGGTTGCTCTGCAACAAGGAGGGAAGCAGAGGAGATGCCTGATGGGCTGTCGGCTGCTGGCTGGTTCAGCG